TCTGCAGTGGGATTACAGTGCTGGTGAATGAGGGAAGAGTGACCGAGGCATCTGCCTGGACTTGTGCAAAGCACTTGGCACTGTTCTGCACAACTGCCTTGTCTCTGAACTGGAGAGATGCGGATCTGATGGATGGGCCAGTCGGTGGATGGTCACACTTAAGGAGCTGTGGTTAATGGCTTAGTGTCTAAGTGGAGTCCAGAGGCAAGGGCTGTTCCTCAGGGTCAGTTTGGGACCCAGCACTGTTTAATGGCCTTGCTGGGGATGTGGACAGTGGATCAGGGCTCCCTTGGCAGATCTGTGGATGACTCCAAGTGTGTGGGGCAGTCACACACTGCAGGGAAGGGATGGATCCAGAGAGACCTGGACAGGTTGGAGAGATGGGCCCATGTGAACCTTGTGAAGTTCAGCAAGGCCAAGTGCAAGGTGCTGCACGTGGGTCAGGGCAGTGCCAAACACGATGACAGGCTGGGTGGGGAATGCATTGAGGTCAGCCATGAGAAGAAGAACTTGGGAGTGTTGGCTGAAGAGAAGTTCAACCCAACCTGTCAGTGTGCACCTGCAGCCCTCAAAGCCAACCACATCCTGGGCTGCATCCAAAGCAGCTTGGCCAGCAGGTCAGGGGGACAATTCTCCCTTCTGCTCTGCTCTGCCCAGGCCTTGCCTGCAGGGCTGCACACAGCTCTGGGGCCTCCAACGGAAGAAGGACATGGACCTGCTGGAGCAAGTCCACAGGAGGCCACAGAGATGCTCAGGGGGTTGGAGCACCTCCCATAAAGACAGGCTAAGAGGGTTGGGGCTGATAAGCCCAGAGAAGAGAAGGCTCCGGAGAGACCTTTAGCACCTTCCAGTGCCTAAAGGGAGGCTACAAGAAAGCTGGGGAGGAGCTTTCAACAAGGGCATGGAGTGGGAGGGCAAAGGGGAATGGCTTCACACTGAGAGCAGGTTCAGGTTAGGTTTTAGGAAGAAGTTCTTCCCTGTGAGGGTGGTGAGAAAACTGAAATAATGGCAAGAAGCTTTGCAGCTCTTCTTAGTAAGTAATACTCAGAGAATCTCTTGTTGCTGATTGCAGAGGAACGATGCCATTCCTGGGCCAAGACTGGAGATCCCCTGGCTGGAGATGGGTTAAAACAGAAGATGGCTGGAAACGCTGTGAACCCTTCAGTCCTGCACTGAAGGATGGGAATAATCAGCTGAGTGATATCAGCCACACTGTGTAAGTGGGAAAAAAAGGAAAGCTGGTTCTGCATGAGTTAATAGCAGGTGGGAGGGCAGGGATTGACTTAACTTCCATTCAGGCTGCAGCTGTTTGTGGCAGCTGATAGCATCTGTGTACTAATGCAGCCATGTGTGGTTTGGTTAGGCAGAAGGAGACCCCTGTGGAGGTTGTGTCTGGTCACTGCTCCGTGAGGTGCTGGTTTGAGGCAGCTGGAGCCCTTCTTAGGCTGTATGTTTTCACAAATAATAGAATGAAAAATACTTTAAACAAACCCCAAACCAACAAAAACCCTGTCAAGTATTATTATATGTACCAAGTACTGTTGTACACGTCAAGTACTGTGCCACTTGGAAGTGCCAGAGGTGTGTGGGACTGTCAGCTGGAAATGGACAAAGACTCTGTGCTGAGTGGGTGTGGGGTTGGCTCTGTTAAAGGCAGTCAGCTAATGATTTGCTGCACACACAGCCCCTGGAAGCTGAGTGCTCCTTCTCCAGCACAGCGTGTGCTCCTGTAGAACAGCTGAGAAGGATATTAGGTAAATAATGTACCACTTGTGGCAGGTGCCCATAGACTGGCAAGATAGAAATAGCTTTGCCAAAACAAATTTTTCCTTGGCTTCTGCACAGAGAAGTAATTCTCAGGGATAGCAGCCTTGGTCACAAACTGCAGCGTGATGTGCTCACCGTGAGGAGAGGAGAGGGAATGTTCAGGGTGCTGCTGTTGGTCCAGGCAGGGATAACCCCTCTGATCTGCAGGGAGCTGTGGCTGGTTGTGCTCACACACCTGTGCTTTCTAGAATTGGCAAGGAAACCTCAGGGGAGTTACCAAACAGTGAAGAATTATTAGGCAGCTTATCTTGAACTACTGTTTTCTTCATACCATTTTTTCTTCTTGTGTTCACCTGTCCCTGATCTCATTTGGGCTTCTCCCACAGTCTGACCACTGTGGCCACAAAGCACTGTGTTCCTGTGGCACAGTGTTCACTAAGCCCCAACATAAAAGTTGCCTTAAATACCTTTGAAAAGAATCTCTTCTACCCTCTTTCATGTCTTTAATAATATACTTGGCAAATGAAAGGAAATCTAATTTGTTTCTGAGGCTATTTGCACAGTTGCTAAATAATTAGATCTTGTAGGTTGCTTTAATTAATATGTTTGACAAGAATGAGATAAATGATCATTGTCTCTGTGAATATCATTAAGACTTTTGTTCTTCTGCTCATAATTGTCTGTGTGAGGTATTTTTATTGCTTTGAGCAAAAATCCTGGGTTGTATTTTTTCCCCTTAGTCTTGAAAGACCCTGGTACTGAACTCCTCTGGAGCTGTCTTGCTAGAAACAGGTTTAAAGCAGCTGTTTTGGGAAAGATATGTGCATTAAAGCTGAGGACTAAAATAGATACATCGGTTTGAAGGGACTGGATGTGACATGCACTAGGGGAGAAGAAGTCTCTGTGAAATCTGAGGTGTTTCTTCGGTGAACCTCCCAGTTCATCAGTCACAGGCTTGGGGACCAGCCTGGTCTGCAGCAGATGTCCTCATCTGCATCTTACACATCTCCTGCTTAGCAAAGCCAAACCACAATATTTTGTGGCTTTCTTTGTTGTTTAATTTTGCTTCTGCCTATGCAGTTAAAAACGTGTATTGTCCAAGCCTAGACTAGAGCTCCAGCTGGTCCTTCCAGGCATAGTAGCACTACTGCAGAGTAATTCTGCTCCAGCCTGAACCTTGTACCTGTGACTACAGCTTGAACTTTTCATTTCTGAGTTAACTTCTGCTGCCGAGCAGCAATTAGTGTCTATTTGCACAGCATCATAGAACAATTCAGGGTGGAAAGGACCTCGGGGGGTCATCTGGGACAAGCACCTGCTCAAAGCAAGGCCAGCTGTGGTTGGGTTGTGTAGGGCCCTGCCCAGTTCAGCTTTCTGCATTTCCAAGAGTGGAAATTCCTCCCTGGGTTCCTGTTGTAAGTTTTCTTTCCCTCACTGAGATTTTGCTTGTTGTCCCATGTTGTGCCATTCCCCTGCTGCAGCCTAAGTAAGAATTTGTCTTACCACATACTGTGTCCATTCCCACTTGACTCCCTGCTGCCACCTCCTCTAACCTACAGTTTAGCTCTGTAGAGTTTGTATCCTTCTGTTGTAATCTGACAGCACTCAGATTTCCATCCACCACGGCTCCTAACACTGAGCAAGGTCAGGTCTCTACCCTCGTGCACCGTGTGCTCCAGCACCTTGGCAGCTCCACGCTGGACTCGTGCCAGTGTGCCAATGTCTTTGTTGTGTTGGGGAGCCCCAGACTAGGCACAGGACTCCAGATGCAGTTTCTCCTGCCAAATGAAGAGGGGCGATCGCTTCTCTCAGCCTGCAGGATGCCCTTGTTAACTCAAACCAGGGTGTAGTTGGCTTAGTACAGCACAAGGACACACTGCTGACCTGTGTTAGCTGCTCTTCCACGGGACTCCTGGTCCTTCCTGCAGAACTCTCTCCAGGCTGTTCCAGCCTGTCCCCGTGCACCATGCCTGGCTGAGTGGTTCTCTGTCCCACCCAAAGCTCTCTGGAGGTGATTATCTGTGTGCGTGACATGATGTAGCACTGAGTGAGGCTTGACAAAGTACTTCCTTGTGGGAGAAGCATATAGTAAACAGTACAAAAGTACTTATTTGTCTGTCTCTCAGCTGCCCTGTGAGTAGGAATAGTGGTGTGTTCCAGTCTGGCTGTTCTAACAGGGTTTGATTTATTTGCAGCCATTGTAGGAAATAACATTTGTCACCAAAATTTTCTGCAGAAATCTCCTAGTTAGTGCCTGGCTGTTGGTTCCCAGGGAGCAGTTGCAGCAGTTTCTCTTTAAAGAGAAATGAATCCAAGCTATGTAGTGGACCAAAATTCTCTTTACTTTTGCTTCTGTTAGTTTCTTTGAGAGAAAGTATGGATTGAGTTACTTGCCAAACTGTCTTTTACCCATTGCAAACACTTTCTCTTCAGAAATTGAGATCTAATTGCAAACAGATGCAGAAATAAACCTTTGATACATGTAAATCACTTAAACTGAAGAATACTCTCTATTAAAATAACTCCTGACCTTGCTTGGTCAGTCGTGCAGTGTCCTGGTGAATCCAGCTGATGGCTTAGCAGG